ACCGGAGGCACCCAGTGTGGACCGCCGGGTGCTTCGCAGCCCGGGGGCTGCTGGCTGGAAACTGCCCGTGACACTGAAAATTAAAAATTAACCCTTTTCAAGGCAACAGCAGGGGCTTTCAGGAATTCCCACCCCTCCCCTGAGAGCCAGGCCCTGCCGAGGGACACCCTGGCACACCACGCTTGGACCTTTGCTTCAGTATACTGGCAAAGGCTCCTTCCAGGAGCCACTGACAGCAGCCGCACATCCCTGTCCCCTCCCGGAGCGGAGGCCGTGCGGACAGCACCTCGTGGAGCCCGTGTTCCCCTCTGTGTCAGATCTGGCACAGCCCAAGGGCATTGCCCGAGTGCTGGGTCGATGCTGTCTGCATGGCATCTCCCACGCTGGGCCAGGTTGGGGGGGCTGCAGGGCCAGCTCCCTGCCAGGCTTACTGGTCCCTGTGGGACCGATGTGGGGGTATCTCATGGCAGCTGGGCATGCCTGCCTGAGACACCCCCTCCAAAGACCCCTGAGTGGACAGGGGACTCCAGCAGAAGTGTCACAGCAGGGGGAAAGGGGACACGGCAATGTGAACACTGCCCTCATCCCCTCTCTTTTCCCACCAGCGAAGGAGTGGATGCCCAGCGGGAAGTTGCACCCTGCTACTCTCAGGTTTTCTGTTTTCCTCCCTGACAAGCTTGACTTGGTACTCTGCCTTCACACTTGCACCAAGGTTACTTTTGCTGACAAGGGAGAAGACTTGCAAAATAAGCTAAGGCTGTGGTGAAGCCCAGATAGTCATTTTTCCATGTGCAGCTTGCTCGGGCTATAAATACACAGCTCCTGCCTGAGCCACCAGCTGTGTGGACTGAGCAGCGGGCCCTGCCCACCATGGGCTCCTGCCCTGTGCTAGTCCCATGGCAGGCAGGGAGGCAGCTGTGCCTAGCTCCAGGGGGTCACCCTTCCTTGGCTGCACCCTCTGCACCCTGCAGTGTTCCCCAGGTGGGAATGCCACTGTGGGATTCCTCAGCCTTGGTCACCCTTGCCCCATGCTGTGAGTAGGGAAGGGGCTGCAGGCTGCACCCAGGAGTCCTGTTTCCTGTGGGAGTGGGACATGCTGCATGCGTGAAGAGGAGGGCCCGTGTTGTGGGACCCTGGACCCTGCTCATCTGGTGAACTTCTGACCTGAAGGCATGTTTTCAGGTGGTTGGCAAACCCCCAGGACAATGTGTTCTGCCCTAATCTCAAACTGCCAGGGACAGGGAGGGGCCTCAGAGACCGGGACCCTTCTTGGGGGAGCTGCTGATAACCGAGGCACCCCAAATCAGCAGGACCTTCACATCCATTGGGATGCAGCTGCCCTGTGGGGCTTGGGCTGGCTGTACCACAGACGAGGTGACAGAAGGCAACATGGTGACGACTCATAGGTCCGGGAAGGTCTGGACTGGGAGATGCCCCCCATCCCTGTGCCTGAGGGCAGAGGCAGTGTCCCCACAGGGCTGGCGGACAGAGCCTGCCTGTCCTGTGGTGTCTAGAGAGCGCATGTGCAGCCCAGCAAAGGGCAGAGCTGGGGTTTGGGGAGCAGGTAGTGAGATGGGGCTGTTTCAGGCAAGGTACCCATGCCCCACAGAGGCTGTGCAGCAGCGACGAGCAGCCAGCCCCACTCTGCTCTGAGCCCCATGGGGAGTGGGGAAGTGCCCAGCAGGAGTGCTGCAGGGCCAAGAAGGGGAACTGGGGGCATCCCAGTCCTGCTCGAGGGCTTGCAGCACCTACAGATGCCTCAGCTCAGGGTCTCAGGCTTGTGCTCCCCTGAGCTGAGGCATCTGTAGGGCCACAGGGCCCAGCCAACTGCTCCTCTGCCCCTTCACTCCGCCCCTTTCTGCCCACGCCTGCTACAGCCTGGAGAGCTCAGCACTGGCCCCAGGAAAGCTGTTTGTTCAATAAATACAGACAGTGAAAGAGGTGTTGGGAAAAGAAGGGGAAAAAACAGGAAAAAAAAAAAAACCAAACACCTAAACCCTCTTTGGATTTGCGCAAGTGGCCTTGGGTCCCAGACAGTATTGATCCCCAAGTCTTCCACCCTGCCTGTGCAGCAGCGGGGTCAGTGGGAACCCTTCAGGTCCGAGTCCTGGAGACACCAGGGCCTGGCAGCCTGGATCTCAGCACTGCGGCTGCTGCGACCTGATGGGGAGATGCGGGTCCCCGCTCCAACAGGGGTCGGTGTGAGTGCCTGCCTCAGGACGCATGCAACGTGGGCAAACACTGTTTCCTGCTAGTGGTTGTTCCACCCCTGCTCAAGGTGTCACAGGTTCCCTGGAGCAACGTGGACCTTGGTCCCCGCTCCGGCCAGAGCTGCTCTTGGCTCTGACCACCACAGCCCGATCCTAGAGTGAGACAGCAGATGCAAAGCTGTCCTTGAGGCCAGATTGGGAGAGGGTCTGACACCACCCTCCTCCATCCACTGACCCTCTTCCCACCTGGTTCGTCTCTGTCCCCAGCCTCTGCGGTGGGGTTGTCGGTGCTTGCAGGGTGGATCACGGGACTGCAGTCACCCAGCTCCACCCCAGCCAGCTGCATGCACCTTGGGGGATTGCTCCAGGAGTTCCCCTTGTGAACCTCCCTCTCCCACCCCCAGCACCCTCTCCCTGCTTTCTCAGCCCTCACACATGGGGGACACGTGGGAAGCAGTGAAGAAACCCTAACACGAGATTACGTAATGGGGCTGATGTGTCAGAGCCGCCCTTTGCCCCCAGCTCTCACGGCACTGGCATGTCCCACTTTGCCGCCAGCCAGGCTGGCAAGGGGCAGTGAAGGGGGCAGCTGCTCTCGGCCACAGGACAGAAACGTGCCAGAAGGTTGCTCCCCTGTGAGGGAGGCAAGGGTGGGTGTCCTGGGCACCGTGGCTTTGGCGGTCTTGCCTGGCAGTCTCTGTTCACTTTAAAACAGAGAAGAGTTGGTCAGTTTTGTCCTGACTTGGGACAAGAATGGCCAAATACAGATGGGTTTGGTGGAATGGAAAATTTGGCCCAACCAAGCAACGGTGCCTTCTCTGGTGGGAATCACAGGCCCCCTGTGTCTGGGGGTTCCCATACCATGTCCTGGATCTGGTTGGGACAAGTCAGGGGTTCTGCATCCCCCTGGGAAAGGCAGTCAACGGGCAGAGAGCATGAGAGCTGTGGGGGCCAGCATCACTGCAAGTCTTTGGGCACAGTGTGTCCTGGTGGTAGATGCCCAACTCTGCTGCCTGGGTTTTATAACGAAGTCATTGGTTAGAAGAAGACTGCACGTGGCAGAGAGGGTCAGTTCTGTGCCATCTCAGGGCTGTCTGTGCTAGGGCACATCCACCACCTTGCACCTTGGGGAGAGGTGGAAGATGCGCTTGCTCATGACAGGGCACACAAATGTGTACACATACATGTGCACACAGTACAGCTAAGAGTCTTTTATTGAATACCAGGTAGCTGGGATGCTTGGAGAGGGAGACACTTTCCTCCCACTGGGATCGATTTCCCCTTCCTCACCCACCTCAACCTCACGTCCAGCTGAGGAGTAGGGCCCCATGGATGGCCCTCTCCCCTCTGGCCTAGCCATCCCCCAGCATCTTTTCAGCTTCTATCTCCTCCAGGACCCATTACCTGAAGAGCACATGTTCGTGCTGCAGCAGAGGGCTGCAACATGGCCTTGGTCTGGGACCATCAGCAGGGCAAGCTGGGGCTGCCCTGAGCGGCTCAGGGAGTCGTGCTCTGCAGAGTCCTGCAGGTAGAAGTGTCTGGCGTCCATCAGGAGCCAGTCTGAGAGGCCGTGGCTCATAGGCAGAGAGGAATCCATGGGCAGATCTGAAGGGGGAAAAGAGCCATGTGGGAGGTAAGGGAGGAGAGGACTTGCAGATTCAGCATCACCTTTGATGCTTCAACCTCAGGAGGAGAAAACACCTCGGCAGAGTTTCCATCTCCCAGCAGCTCGCCAGGTCTCACACTGCCAGAGAGGGGCCAAGAGGAGGGGAGCCCTGCGCAGCACAGGTCCTGCCCTCCTGCCTCAGGCAGCCGGTCAGGTACAACCGCAGGCATCGACAATCATGTCGGGGATGTCGGTCTTGACGATGTTGCTGTCTCGATCATAGTAGAGCAGAGAGAGGGGGCGACGCTGCGTGGGCACACAGCAGGAGTCCACGGCTGCATCCGCATTGTTGGCTTTGATGAGGTTGAGGACAGCCGTGTGGAAGGAGGCAGCGAGGCCAGGGATGCCAGCCATGTGCAGGGGGCAGAGCCCCACGCAGTAGTTCATGTGATACCCCTCTGGCTGGATGATCCAGTCCTCCCAGCCGATCTCCTTGAAGTCCACGAAGAATTCCTTGCGGCAGCACATCTGAGAGTCCCCACTGCAATCAATGCTGCGCCGCTGGACCCGGTGGGGCGTCCTGGCCCGGGCCTGGGCTGCCACAAATGGCCAGTGGGAATCACTGTGGCCAGCTAGGAGGGGAGACCCCCAGCCCTCTGCCACCTCCAGCTCCACAGTGAGCCTCTGGCTCCCTTGGCTGAACAGGCTCTGGACAGCTCGGCCCACATCCAGTGTGGCCCAGCCGGCCCTCTGCACCTCCAGCTGTGTCTCGCTGGCCATTGTCATGTTTGGTCCCGTCGGGTCTGGCTGCAAGAGTCTGACAGTGACAGGGTGCGGCCCGGAGCTGGGGACTGCCCAGAACAGGTAGAGGGTGGCTTGTAGGATCTCGGTGCTCACAGCCAGCTCCCAGGTGAAGCGGAAATGCAAGCGAATGCTGCTGGAGGTGGAGGACCCTGTGCACAGAACAGAAATCAGTCAGAAGGTGAAGGGAGAAGCGGGGCGGGCTCCCCCAGCTGCAGAGCCAGAGCAAATGGGAGGTATCTCAAAACTGGGGAGCAGGGCACAGCACATACAGGCGTCGAGGGGCCCCCACTTCCCTGCACTGCTGCTGCTCCTCCTTCTTATGCCGCTTTAAAGCAGCAGCATCTCAGCCTGGTGCTGAATGCAGCAACCCGGCGCTGAATGCAGCAACCTGGCTTGGTTCCACCTCCTCTGGCCTGATATCCCCCTTGTCAGTGAAGCTGCTGGAGGATTTTGGAGTAGGTTATCTGGCTGTATAAACCAGCCTTGGATTTAAGGCAGATGCGCTGATTTGCACCTCCAGGATTACCTCTGCTTTCCACGGCTGGAACCATCACCTGACATTGCCTCAGCATGTCCCACCCTTGCTGCTGCTCAGGCTACAGAGCTGCATCTCATCCTCAGGAAGGAAGTGCTGACAGGGACCGTGACAGCAGTGCTGGGCTCCTTTGGCACAGCTCTGCCCATGAGGACACGACCCCCCCCTCTGCCATGGTCTGGCACAGCGCAGCAGGGCGAGAGACTGGGCTCAGCCCCACGGCTCACACCGGCTCCTCCGTTTCCAGCAGACACTCCACTGAGCCAGGAGACAACTCCCCATTGTCCTCATGTATGGGAACACAATGTACTGCAGAGGAGCATTGTTTCCAGAGGTCTTCAAGGACACGGCAAGCCCTCACTATCCCATGCAAGCCATACAAAGGCCTGCAAGGGGGTGTGTGCCCCCCCCCCCCAAGCAGCAGTTTGGGCTGGGCAAAGTGGCAGTGCAGAAGGATGCTCTGCAGGACGGAGCAGTGATTCTGCTTCTTTCCAAAGAAGGCTGCTTTTGCCTGGGAGAAGTGGGGGTACAGGACCCTGTTTTTCCAGTGATACTTGTCAGGACCCTTAGGCATGTTTTGGGGAGCTCTCTCCTCCCAGGAATGCGGCTGATTCTGGAGTGAAATGTGGCAGCCCACCACTTGGGGTAGGAAGTGGAAACACAGCTGAGTGCAGGGAGCAGATGGGCTTTGGAGACCTAAGTCCACACACTGTGAGCTAATGGGGAATCTAGGCTTAAAATCATGTTTGGAAAAACATGGGCATCTGATCCCTCCACCTCTAGCATAAATGGGGAGGGTTCAACAGAAAGGGACAATAAATTCACATGATACAGCAGTCTATCTCTGCTCCTGCACCCATCCCTTTGCCCCACCATATTCCACATGTAGATGAGAGGGGCCCCAGAGCCCCAGTAGTGCTTCCCCTGCCCATGGTGAGGGGTGGCTCATTGGGGTAAGCTTGGGATGCGGATGCAAAGGTTCTGGATATGGAGCTTCTCATTGCCACTCCTAGCAGCAGCATGCCCACCAGCCCAGTGCATAGCCTGGCATTGCTTGCAGGAGCGTGATGCCCATGTGTGGAGCTTTTGAAATGTCTGTGCAGAGGAAACCTCTGTGAGAGGAGGAAACCTCTCACCACCTTCCCCCAGGCAAGACCTTCCTTCCCTCCGTGCCCCCCACCTCAGGGCCCATCCCACCATGCCCATGGGATGCAGGGTCTGCATCATACAGACCTGACTCGGCAAAGCTCAAGATCTCATATTCCTGCACACCCATCCCAGGACGCACGTGTGGGATGCTGCCATCATGGGGCATCCCTGGGGAGATGGCTGTGTCCATGCGCTGCGCACGCATCCTGCGGAGAGCAGTCAGGAGGGTCCCCCTGGACATGGGCTGAGTGATGTTGGGCCTGTCTGGCAAGCGGAGCTTGGAGAGGATGCTCTGCTTTGCCAGCGCGATGAGGACGTCCCGCTGTGTGGTGGGGGCCGGGCCTGCCAGTCCACAGGCTGGGCACCACACTCCCTTGGGAGCCGCCATCCTCAGAAGGCTCAGTAGTAGGAAAGCTACCGTGGTTGTCATCTCCAGTGTCAGGAGATGACAGCTGGAGGGTCTCAGCAAAGAGCGTTCCTCCAACTGTCGATAAGCCGAAGTCAAAGTGGGACAGCAGCACTGGGGCCGGGAGTGCAGAGCACGGCAGCGCTGGACTCCACGGGAGCAGAGAGTGAGGAAGGGCTCGTTGTCCTGACGTGGCCACAAATATTGGCTGATCCCGGGTGAGATAAACGCCCCTCTGATCCCACAGGAGCCTCTCCCAGGCACGGGGCAGC